ATGAGAGTATCTCGTCGGCAAAATTCAAATTTGGTATTGCTGAGGGCGAGAATACCCAGCTTCGTGAAGGACAGCTGTAATCCACGGCTATTACCGCAATCCAAACATAATTGGTATTTCTGAAATAAATCACCAGAATTAAAGTTAAAGAAAGAAGGCATGACCTCCTGCATATCGTAGCTCTCAAGCACTGGAGAAGTCATGGTCACTCTACAGACGATCACCATTTATCAAGAAAATTGGATAGGGCCCAAAGCGACTGCACTTTGAGAAAATGGAACGCTTCCTCCATCCTTTCAGGCCCACGCGTTCTACTAAAAGCCACCCTACTACGGTATTCGTGACGGGAGCAGCGTCTTCACAGCGTGATTTCGCAACAATATCTTGTACCCTTTCCAACAGCATTCCAGCAACTGGGCTACTTTGTAATTCTTCTCTTGCACACTCGGGTGATGGCGGCTTTTTCTTTTTTGGTGTAACTACAAATGTTGTTTGGGAAGAGGGACAGCCCTGGTCTCTGACATTCTCAGCGCTATAGCACAACGAAGGAAGGCTCTGCGGTGCTTTGAATTAACACCGGGATGGGTGAGGCAACCGAATGTTCAATTTATCAACCACACCAGCTTATGCCCGAGGTAAACATCAAAAACTATATTTCCTAACTAAGATACACTCAACTGGCCTTTACAGTGCCGCAGAGCCGACATTCCTCTAGCGCTCAGTGTTAGAGACAAGCGATGACCACTCCTATGATACAAATAACTTGGTTTTTTTTTNTTTTTTTTTCGGACAATGAGGTCTTGCTTTTGGTCTGAGGCTTCTTCTGGCTGATGATCCTCATTTCAGTGATGTATACACACTTAGGAGAGTGCTATACACACGTAGGAGGGATCTGTACATGCGTAAGTGGGATCTACAGCACCAGTAAAGGTATCTTGTTTGAACCTATGTCACTCACTGACTGCTCTGTTCTCGTCTTTCAGCACTCTTTTAGCCCTTTTGGTGGTTTTTATCCATGAAAATGTAGATCACAAGTCTAATCATGCGTTCACTTTTTTCAGAAAGACAAATAATCACTTCATATTCCAACAATAGCCTATGGAAACAATGCTGAAAAGCGAGTTTGTGTTTAGTTTCCCCTTCCGGTGAGATCGATCACAGCAGACTTGTGTCGCAGGACATGGCACCAATGTATTTGAGTCCAGATTTGTCTGACGTCACATTCGTGGTTGATGAGAAAGCCTTCGCTGCTCATAAGATGCTCCTAGTTGCTCGTAGTAAATACTTCAGGCAGGAAGAGTTTTGTGATGTTCTGATCGCGAAAACTCGTTTTTGTCCATTTCTTTTAGGGCCTTGTTTCTTGATGGGTTGAAGGAGTGCAATGAAGGCACGATCGCACTTAAGGAGACCAGCGCTTTTGCTTTTGAAGTTCTTCTGAGGTAAGTTTATAATTTTGTAATAGGCGCTTAAAAAAAGGTGGATTAGAGCTCTTCTTCGTCTGTGGCTTAGATTGCTACCTAGTGTTTTTTGTCATTTTCCTACGCACAGCTACAGGCTTTTCCAGGTGGCATCTTTCATAGTCCGCGACCGGTCGCGCGACTAGTCGCCGGTCGCTAGCGACTGGTCGCCGGTCGCTCGCGCG